GGGGGGGGGTCGTCGATGAATCAATTTTCTCTAAAATGCCGTTTTAACCTTCAAAAGTAGTGCTAATATTTTTAATTACATTATAATTTTATTTTTACGTTTTTCACCACAGGATAGAATAAATTGCGCATTTTAAATGACAGATTTGAAGATTTTTAAAAGTGAATGACGAAAAATAATTTTTTTGAAAATCTCTGGAAAAGGGACCGACTACATTTCGAGTACATTTTGAGGGCTTAAACGGCAAAGACCTCCCAAATAATGCTTATTAGAAACACTTTTTAGTACAATAAAACGACGTTTAGTTGGTGAAACAGTAACTCATATCTTCGGAAATGGGACCAAGCACATTCTTGAATATCAGGCCTAATTTTACAGGTTAAAACGACATTTTAGAGATAAACATTTAATCCGGGACCCCCAGTTTACAGATATTGTACCTTCTTAAGCATTTTTTAACACAATACAACGATATTTAGTAGGCTTAAACACACTTTTCAGAGACACCTTGTATATATATGTATATTTACATGATAGCTATTGCTGGCCAAACGGCTGGACCAAATTGGCTGAAATTTTTCGAAACTGAAGGATTAAAATTACAAAAAAAACATACTTAAAACCTTCAGGGTTACCTACAAAGGGTGAAAGTTTAATGACGACCTAAAATTTCTTTGAATAAAACGATTTAAAGGTTCATTTGGATGTTTGCTTTATTACAAACTAACAATGGTATCTTTATATAAATTTGGCTTGTCTGTCTGTTTGTTTGTTTGTCTGTCTGTCTGTTTGTATCCAATAAACGTAAACACGGCTAAACCGATCGGGCCCAAATTTTTTGTGTGACATCTAGGGACCCAAGGGAAGGTTTATGAATGATTGAGATTTTAAATATTTGTCTACATCAAAATTAGATCTCCATTAAATTTTTTAAAATTTTGAAAATCCACGAAATTTTTTGTGAAAATCCGCGAATTATTTTTGTTTCGTTTTACGATGCACACAAAGAGAACATGTTCACAATTAATTTAGAAGATGGGCGCGAAGCGCCCTCTAAGGCTAGTTTTAAAATATTTGAGGAAGGAAGAAACGTGTTTACAGGTGCTGAGAACCATAAACGATGAACAGACTGAATAAATTCCGCACAGTCGTTTCTGAACTCTAATCCCAAACCCTGCAGGGTTAAAGTGTGAAACATCTTTCCTTAGCAGTATATATTAATATTAATCATTCTTTTCCTTATTTTATTCTCCCAAAAATTTTAATAAATCACAATTTTACCCGGCCTACCCTAACCTTTCTCAAAGTGATTAAATACTAAAGTGGAACAGACTAAGGCAACGACGACAGGTTGGGCCAAAAGGTTTGTTTGGTTTGGAAATAATTGCATGAAAAGATTTATTTTGGAGACTTAAAAAAATAGACTAAAGACCCATGTAAATGTCGTCTTCAGTTAGAACTTCGAAATTTTCACAATTAAAAATCAATAATTTTTGTATGTTTGTATGTAGTTTATATGAAAGTACTATACAGCCATCTATTCATTGATTTTGCCTGGCACTTCTAATTCTATAGGAATTTATCTCTAAAACTGCTAAGTTTTATTCTTCCAAATCTCACTTGGATAGAATAAAACAGTTTACACAAAGATGGCAAAAGTTGACCTTATGAGAGCTGGAGTAAACATGTTCTTGAAGAGATCCTGACAATCTTGAGTAAATATGTTCTTAAAGATCCTGACAAACTCGAGTATATTTCTTGAAGATCCTGACAATCTTGAGTAAACATATTCTTGAAAATTCTAACAATCTTGAGTAAACATTTTATTGAAGATCCTGACAATCTTGAGTAAACTTGTTCTTGAAGATCCTAACAATATTGAGTAAATATGTTCTTAAAGATCCTGACAAACTCGAGTATACTCTTGAAAATCCTGACAATCTTGAATAAACATATTCTTGAAGATCCTGACAATCTTGAGTAAACATATTCTTGAAGATCCTAACAATCTTGAGTAAACATTTTATTGAAGATCTTGACAATCTTGAGTAAACATGTTCTTGAAGTTCCTACATGTTCTTGAAGATTCTGACAATCTTGAGCAAACATTTTCTTAAAGATCCTGACAATCTTGAGTAAACATGTTCTTGAAAGTCCTGACAATCTTGTTCTTGTTTAAGTTCCAAATACTGGAGTAAACATGTTCTTTAAGATCCAGATAACATGTTATTGTTTATATATCCAGATACTGGAGTAAACATGTTCTTTAAGATTCAGATAACATGTTCTTGTTTATATATCCAGATACTGGAGTAAACGTGTACTCTAAGATCCAGATAACATGTTCTTATTTAAAGTTCCAGATAAAAGTAGAATTAACATGTACCTGTTTGTAGTTCCAGATAAAACGAATTAACACGATCGTGTGTTCCAGATTAACTGCAATTTAAATTTCTTTTAATTCACTCTACAGAACTTTTTAAACTCAATACAAATTTCAGTCACGATGATGCTTCAAAATGTGCTTTGCAAAATGAAGTTGAATTCCTGTAATTTTCGTAAAGTTGAATAGTTGAATACTAATCTGGAAAGTGTCGTCTCCACTCTTCAATCCAATCTACGATACTTTATTTTGTCATGCCTCTTTATAATATTAGTAACTAGAATCAAACAATAATTTTATCTGTATTTGTACTTTAAAGATTGCATAAGATGGCAAACAAACAAAAATTAAATAAAATTCTCGAGAACTCGCTCTAGCTCCTCTAGCAAGTGTAATTTAATATTGCAACAGATTAGACCGAGGGCGCCAAACTTATTCTTACGAAATTAACAACGAGACTTATAGTTATATACAAATTGAATATGATATTTCTGATTGTGATTGTAGTGAAATGTTAAAATAAAGTTTTATCTGAGCTGAGATGGAATTTAAAGAATTTGAGCCGCGGTTTAAATCTGCCAAAACCCGGTTTAAATTAAGCGCCGGTTTAAATCTTGAAACATTTGATACAATTTTAAGTGGAACCAACCATATTTAAGCAGCGGCTTAAATTTAGACCGCCGCTCAAATTCTTTAAATTCGGCCACTGGGAACTTTAGAATGGTGGATATCGGGATTAATACTTGATCCACTCATTTTCTTAATCTCCAGAGCTGAAAACTTTAGAATGGGATATCCATAATCCCGATCGGTATATTAATCTGGAGATTAAAAATGAGAGGAGAACAAGCATTATTTAATCTGGAGATTAAGAAAAAGAGTGGATCAAGCATTAATCTCGATATCCACCATTCAAAAGTTCCCAGCTCAGATTAAATAATGCTTGTTCTCTTCTTGTTATTAATCACCAGATTAATTAACCGATCTGGATTAAGGAAATCCCATTCTAAAGTTCCAGCTCTGATTTAACTGTACTGTTCGAACTCCAACAGTTCAGTCTAAATGATCTGAGGATATCTCTGCCAAGAGAGGTGAATATAAAGAGAATGATTAAAATGGCGACTGCTATACACGCGGCAATTATTAGTTTGATGTAAACCACGCTGATGAACGTTCCGACTATCTTCTGTATGAGAACGTTTGAGGCGAGGAAGAGGGTGATACCTACGGAGATGATGAGAGCAACGTTGGACCAACCAGTTTGTGGTGAGGAGGCCATGAAGTTCTTGTCATTGATACAAACCAGGAGGCAGATGGAGAAGAATGGAAGTAAACAACCGTTAAATACTTGAGCTATTAGGATTACTACTGCTCTGTCCGCTGAAAATACAAATAAAATAATAAAAAAAAACTTTAACAATTTTATCTCTCCCATGTTTAAGAAAATGGAATGTATTACGAATACAAAATTTTAATCACGATTTGTAAAAGTAAAATTTTTATTCTAATCCCTAGTTACTACTGGTATTCTCTCATATATCTGCTAGTTATCCGTTCTTATCCTTCTTTTTACTATAAATCCTCTCATTAATCATCTTTCCTTTCATTCCAGTTGGTATTCTACAGTCTACAGTCTACACAGACACCTCCATTATTTTTCATTTCATTTATATAAATCTCCATTCCAGTTGGTATTATAAGTCTACAGTCTACACAGACACCTCCATTATTTTTCATTTCATTTATATAAATCTTCATTCCAGTTGGTATTCTACAGTCTACAGTCTACACAGTACACACTACACAGACACCTCCATTATTTTTCATTTCATTTATATAAATCTCCATTCCAGTTGGTATTCTATAGTCTACAGTCTACACAGTACACAGTATACACTACACAGACACCTCCATTTTTTTCATTTCATTTATATATTTATAAGTCTACAGTCTACACAGACACCTCCATTATTTTTCATTTCATTTATATAAATCTCCATTCCAGTTGGTATTCTACAGTCTACAGTCTACACAGTACACAGTATACACTACACAGACACCTCCATTTTTTTCATTTCATTTATATAAATCTCCATTCCGGTTGGTATTCTACAGTCTACAGTCTACACAGTACACACTACACAGACAACTCCATTTTTTTCATTTCATTTATATAAATCTCCATTCCAGTTGGTATTCTACAGTCTACAGTCTACACAGACACCTCCATTATTTTTCATTTCATTTATATAAATCTTCATTCCAGTTGGTATTCTACAGTCTACAGTCTACACAGACATCTCCATTATTTTTCATTTCATTTATATAAATCTCCATTTCAGTTGGTATTCTACAGTCTACACAGTACACAGTACACACTGTACAGACACCTCCATTATTTTTTATTTCATTTATTTAAAATTCCATTTCAGTTGGAATTCTACAGTCTACAGTCTACACATTTGGTAGCTATATAAAAGGCTCTATTATAGTGCAGGTTTTCCTAGTGCAGGGTTTCCATAAATGGACCTCCATTTTATTTAACATTCTACCCAGAGACCTCCATTCTTATAGTTCGTTTTCTATGCATGGAACATCATTTCAATTTTTACATACTTTCTACAATATGAATTTTTGTTACCGTTTGCACTGATAACTACAGTAGATATTGTGACCATGAGGAACATTATTCCAAGATAAATCCATCTTGGCATTTTTCTTGGTTCTGCAGGAACATCAATCACAGCAACCTTAGTACCATCTATCCCATTCTCTTCCTGAACAAAACAAAACTAAAAACGTGTTGAGTCTTTGCTTAAGAGACTGAAATTTTCTAATCCCTTAGCAACCTGATGGTGTAAACCTTTGTTATTTAAATTTGAGATAATTTGATATTATACAGCAATATCCAAAGTTTACGACATTTAGTTGCAAAGATATAGGGATTAGAGATAAATCTTATAGGGATTAGAGATAAGACTAAATGCCCTTGTGTAATATAATATCGGTTTGTTTTATCAGATAAATATTAATGAAAGTGTTGAATAATCACAAAAAAGTTTATTTGTATATATAATCTTGATTTTTGATTTCAGTAACTCCTTAATAACATAGTAGTTTCAACAAATTATAACAGTACCCTTTTCTGATCCATTTAACAGTGTTAATAAACAATTAGAAGAATGAATTAATACCAATTTTTGCAATTGCTAAATATTCTAAAAAAAATCTAGTAGTGGAGTTTCTAATCAAAACATTAAAAGTGTGAAGTGTGATCACTATATAGAAAGACGATAATATCACCACCATTGACAATATTTTAGAAGGTATACGTTTAAAATCAAATTTGAAAGCACTTCATGTTTAAATTTATTATCCCTTTAAGGCAGGGGTTTATATTTTCCTGACATCTCCCCCCTCTTTTGATTTTTTTCTCTCCAGAAGTTAGGAGTGTTTGCGCAATGCGCATAGAGCAATTTATTTGGGGATTTTATTTGCTAAATTTGGGAAAATAAATAAATTTTTTGGATGAAAAAGGTTGAAAAACTTGCTTTTCAATTTCCAACATTTTATCGTATTATATTTTATCGACACGTAACCTGTTACAAGACAAGTAATTACCTGGAAGGTTGGATTATCAAACCTGTAACAAGACAAGTAATTACCTGGAAGGTTGGATTATCAAACCTGTTACAAGACAAGTAATTACCTGGAAGGTTGGATTATCAAACCTGTTACAAGACAAGTAATTACCTGGAAGGTTGGATTATCAATTCCTGAAACAATTTCTTTCTTCTGAGTTTTCTCCTCCACCTCTTCCTTCATCTCGGAGAACACGCTGTCAGCTGTCAAGGCAGCTCCGAGAGGGACGGTCAACATAGAACTAAAAAATTTAGTTTAAGACCAAGAACAATTAAAATGGATGAAAATGGTTTACAGAAAGTTATATTTAGGAAATAAAAAAGTTACAGAAAAATATCATCCCTAGGGCTTTCTATTTTTCCCAGGATCAATTTGGTTTGGTTCCGTAAAGACCTTATATGGAACCTTTCCTGAAGTTGTGAAGAATAAAAAAACTTTTGGAAATAACCTGCATACCTTTCTTAACGGTAATAAGAATTAATCTACCTCTTAGATGCTACACAGAGCTAGGTGTGATATGCTGAATAAAGTTTTTAGGTTACGGAACGATTTTTACAGATAAATTCCATATAGAATAATCTTTGGAAATTAAAAACCCTAATCATCACTCCAATATAGAACCCAAAAGGAGTCAAAGGAACTGTATAACTCATATATTCATCTTTTAATCCCTACATGTTTGCAATCTAATACTCATTTTCTAATCCCTACATGTTTGCAATCAAATAAATAAGACATTTAAATTTTCAAACTATGAGATCTCCTAGATCATATAGTCAAAATGTATTGCAAAGATATAGAGATTAGAAAATTAGAGTTCGAGGCTAGTGATAGGTTCCCTTTTGTTTGATTTGTGTGATTGCAATGCATAGATTTGATTAAAAACTTTTTCTTCTCAGTAGCTCTTCAAAAAACAGATTAAGTTTCATTACATGCAAGTTTTTTTTTTAACCGTAGGAATTGAGTCTGTGCAACAAACTCAAGTTTTCTAATCCCTTTATCTTTGAAACCTAATGGTGTAAACCTTTCATATTTCAAACTTACTTGATTATTTGATTTTATAGAATTCATAGTTTGAAATATCTAAGGTCTACGACATTGGCTTGCAAAGATATAGGGATTAGAAAGGCTGAGTTTTTTGCAATTCCTAAACTTAAGTTTATTATTTCATTAATTTACCAAAACATGGTGGATATATTTACCTAACGGCGGCTGCAATAAATCCCACGGAAAAGACAATGACCCCAACTTGTCCAAAGAACTCGCCTATTGCCTCCGCGATGGATCCAATAGAGAACCCACTGTTGTCCTCGTCCTAAACAAATACTTGAAATCAAATCTAAATCTAGGTTTAAGGTTTCAAGAATTCATGATAACATAAATGGAATCATGTAATGTCAATGGAAGAACAAGACGAAAAACTTATTCTTGCCTTTTAAAACCTGAAATATCTTTTATTTTAGTTTTTAAACATTTAATCTTTTTCCTTTTCAAATCGTGTCATTAAAAGTGTCCGCATTTTACTCAAAAAAATTCCGACCTTCCATAAATTTACATGTTGTTACATAGTAGATTATTATTCTGGTCACATTATAAACATTAAGAACAGAATAATGTTTTCATCTATTATTTCCAGTTAAAACTGGATAATATTAGCTAACATTATTCGAGGTCACGCATTGACCTGTAGTCCATGTAGCTTAATAATACCGCACTTGCGACCCTTAAAACAATGAAAGACGAAAGGCTGAAAAAGAAAACCAGTGCTTTGAAGATAAATTCTCAGAGACTTGAACTAAACCAGGCACATTCTGCAGTGAAAGGGATTTTGCTAAATGCTTGGTCAGAATTGGAAATAAAAGCAAATATTTGAAATTTTCAAATACATCGCTACGAAAGATGGGATTTCAAGACAAAAGTGGTTAAAGGCTGGTGCATAACTTTCATAGCTCTGTAAACAAAGCTGTGAAGGGAATAATAGACTTAAAGCTTTGCTTGAAACAGACAGTCTCATGTTTCCTGTTTACACATTTTATTCCATTATACTCTTTAGTCTTAAATTAAGCTTTAATTTCAGAACATTACTTATACTGTCCCATAAACTTTATTTAGTAAATGTGATTGGTTTCTAGGGCCTGTGTTCATCATCTTACACAATCTTTGTTTTAATGCACATTGCGTATTTCTGGTTCAATATTTTCCTCCCTCTCAACTTCAAATAAATCTATAATCTAAGGTCTTCAATAATTGGCATACCCACCTCTATGCGCCCTGTTGTCCCTTTTCTAATTCCAATTCCAGTTTTTAAAGGTTGCTTTTGAAGTAGTAATTTTTCTGTACCCAGGTCGTTCATTTTTTTATTGGAAAATTTTCAAAAATTTTTCCAAGTAACATTTTTCTATTTCGACCAACTATCTGAGCCACCTCAAAAATTTGAAGCGTTATTTTTATAGTTGTGCTAAATGAATGATCCATTTGTAAAGAATACAGGATAAGCCAGAATTACACCAATCCGGCTATATTCAAAAAAAAAATTCTTTTCCATACTTTTTATTTAAACATCAAGATAAAATCACATTTTTTGTGCAAAAATTACCCCCATGTTAAAATATTATTATAATCCTGAAGACACAATCACCTTTCGATACTTACGGATTAAAAATATAAAAATGCATTTTGCGTAGAAATTTTTAATTCAACAATGTGCAAATTGTTTAAATATTTGCAAAGCTTCACCCAATTTTCAAATACAATGGAGTGAGAAATTTTAAATATTTGGACAGAGAGCATAATAAAAGTCGAATGTTCAATTTATGAAATGCAGTTTCCACTCAATTAATTTTTTGCATCATAAAATGGTAATATTCGAATAAAAACTTTCAAAAAGATGACATTTTTTGCTAAATTTTCAAGTCATGTGATTAATGTTGTGGGGATATTATGAATTTTTGGAATTATGTATCTAGCAGGCAACCCAATCTTGCAGGTTTTTATCATTTCCAACAGTTTATAAAATAAATTTCAGCCCGAAGGGGGGAGGGGGGATTACTATTGAAAATGTTCAGTGTACACCCCTGAAAATGCCACAATTCATTTAACAACTTTCTACTGTTATTCTTGAACGAATTGTACAAGGTACTGATCAGTGCACCCTCAACTGAGCCTTCAGTACGTTCTGCAGTAACTTGCAGTATACTGTCCGAAGATATAGAGGAGAGTGATTGGACTGAATATTGTTGACCTTACTTCATACTTGCCAGTTCCCACAATAAGAATAAGAACGGATACGATGAAGGCTGTTGCAGTAGAGAATCCAATTCCACGCTGAGCAGATTTCAACTCTTTACCCTGCAAATATAGAGGTGCGAATAATTTAAAATGGAGAACAAAAGAAATATTCTGAACTAATTTAAACCAGTTCAAAAGATTAAAAAAAATGAAAAATGAATAAATTAGTTGTACTTTTATTTTTCTTGCTTTTTTCTAATAATTAAAAGTTTCCCCATTTTCATGAACCCTTAATGACAAGGTCACGCCTTAAAGCAATTATATGCAGTTTCGTTTCATTTAGCGAAACTTAGGAATTTAATCTCTGGATACATTTTGATGAGGGGGCGACAGCTCCACGAATTATCAATATTTTTTACAATAAAAATGCAGAATCAAGTTCTTAAACCTGAAATGCGAGATAATCAGAATATTGTGATTCCCAGTATAAGACAACTAGCCTTAGAGGGCGCTTCGCGCCCATCTTCTAAATTAATTGTGAACATGTTCTCTTTGTGTACATCGTAAAANCGGACCGAAATTATTTTGAAATTAAATACAAACAATTACAAATAAGAAATATTTTAAACTCAAAATTAACAATGGTTTTTGAACAAAACTAGGCTTTTAATTGTGGATTATCTGTGAGCAATCAAAAACTTTTAAACACACGTTTTTTAAATTTGGATCATGCATAAACTTTCTCTGGGGTCACGATGAGGTCCAACAGAAAATTTGGGCACGATCGGTTCAGCCGTTTTTACGTTTATTGGATACAAACAGACAGACAGACAAGCTAAATTTACTTCAAGGTCTATTAAAACCTTTTGACATATTATTGATTCCCGAATGCCCAAAAAAGTCATAAGAATTTGAAATGATATGTTCGATGAAACTCTATTTTCTAATCCATATAGATCTTAGCAACCTGATGGTAAAGCCTTTTATATTTCAAACTTTGACTTTGAGATATAGAAAAATTCAAAATTTGAAATATCAAAAGTAAATATCATTAAGTTGAACAAATATTAGAGTTGCATAATTAGAGTCTAAGGCAAGTTACATATATTCAATCGTTACATATATTCAATAGTATACCACTGCAGTTGGAAAAGCTCCAAAAATAACTCTATTAATTTGAGGTTAAAATTGTTTGTTTTTTTAATTCTCATTTGATTTTCCGTTTTCACGTTGGGTTGGGACCTTGTTGGTTAAATCTTTTTTATTAGAATTCAAATCATGCATTTCAAGAAAACACAATTTCTATCCAGATTATAAATATCTATATATATATCCATATATCCATATATATTTTATATATACATATATACACAAGTTAAAGGTGAAATCCATCAAGTAATTTATATGACAGTAGTCTAGACCATGCAAATAAGATTCATGAAGATTGTAGAATTCGCATAATCCGATGTTTATTAATGTATATTTGGATTGAAAAAAAACACATCAAAAATGTTGTATATCTCGAATAAATATTAATGGTTTGATATTTTGAAAGAAATACGGCATTTGAAAGGAATAACTTTGCTTTTTACCCCTTTAACAATACATTTTAGAATTTAATCTGAATTTTGATATGTAATTTGTTAGTTTTTGATGTTTTAGTGTTGCTTTTGATATTTCAAACTTATATTTTTTGAAATAACAGAATTGATAGTTTGAAATATCTAAGGTCTACGACATTTGGTTTCAAAAAATATGGGATTAGAAAATCAGAGTTTGTGGCAAAGACTCAATTCTTTTACAAAGGCTTGAAAAAGACAGAAGTCACCCCTACAAAGAGAGGTGCGAAGCGAAAAGCCTAATTTTAAGTTTCCCTATATTNCAATTTTGACCATTGTTAAACTTCTAGCTTATCTTGAGTCTAACTAGATTTTTAAAAAATATTTTATTTTATCTTTTATGATTTTTTGAAGCCTACATTTAAGGTTTAGAAGAATGCTGACGTTAAAGTATAATACGTCAACAGAATACTAAAAGTTGGCGAAATGCATAGAGATCTAGGTATATTGAAGGCTTAAATTATTGTTAAAGGAATAACATTCCGTACTTTACAATTAACTATTTTATGCACCTGAGTTAGGTTTTAACTGTATTGTATTGTATACATCTATAAGATCACGTGAATACTAATTTCTTCCGATACGTCGAGAAAACAAAGGACATTGAACATATTTACATGGGACCGGAGCCGGGGCGATTATAAATTTGCATAAAATATGTATAATATGTAGATATATGAAAAATGTAGTCTGAACTGAAGTACGATCTTACTCTGTAAGGTTGATATCCATCTCTGCGACCACTACAAGGAAGAGGATTGCCATTGCCATCATAACAATACCAAGAAAGATTCCCAGCATATCCACTTTATCCCAGTACAGAAGAGCCAGAACGATCGCGGCATAAGCGAAACTGCATCCTACCCGGATCGCCACAGAATCCTCAGCGCCAGGAATGGAAAGGATCGCTGCGATCCCTCCGGCCCAATTGTTGCACTCGTAAAGGGTGTTCCCAAAAAATACACCTAGTCCAACCAACCAACAGATGATCGCTGTTTCATATATCTTCCAACCGTGTCTGTACTTCATTCTTAAACATTGACCAAGCGATTTTCCAGAGACAATACTTAGCCTTGCAGTTCCTTCTTGTAGAATATATGCAAGGATAGAAGCGAATACAAGAGCCCAGATCATACTCATACCGTACTCTGCTCCTGCTCTTGCACAGGTTACAACTGTACCCGGGCCTACTGTACAGGCCGCCAGCATAGTCCAGTACAGGAGTGATGCTATTTCTTTAAAGAGGTTTGGTAGTATTAACTTCATGTTTTCAATACACTGCACCGGTTTTTAACTAGTAGCTCCCAGGTCGGTGTTATCACTACGACAGGTAGAATTTCACTGAATAAATCATAGTTTAAAACTCTCGAACGTAGACTATGACGGACCGAAATTATTTTGAAATTAAATACAAACAATTACAAATAAGAAATATTTTAAACTCAAAATTAACAATGGTTTTTGAACAAAACTAGGCTTTTAATTGTGGATTATCTGTGAGCATCTTTTTCAAAATTTTACAAAAATCAAAAACTTTTAAACACACATTTTTTAAATTTGGATCATGCATAAACTTTCTCTGGGGTCACGATGAGGTCCAACAGAAAATTTGGGCACGATCGGTTCAGCCGTTTTGACGTTTGTTGGATACAAACAAACAGACAGACAAACAGACAGACAGGCCAAATTTATATATAGATTAGAAACCTTAACCAGATAATAATATTTTCGGCTGAAAATTAAAGCCTTACTGATTTAAAGAAGAAGATTTCATAGAACTTGTTTTTTAATCTATGTTATAAAATATAGTTTTTGTAAGGTATTATTGAAAAAGAAAGCACTGAATAGAGATTGAAAAATACAAAAAAAAATATAAAAATTATGTTACGTATTTTTACTTCTCCAAGTTGTTAAATTAAATTGTGATTATTTACGGCATAGAGAAATGAAACTGACGAGTTAAAGCTTATCTCACAATCCCCAATAGCACACCAATAGCAAAATTGAAAGAATGGTGGATTACATCACGATATGTTTTCGTTTCAAACACTGAATATAAAGTAATTTTATTTCTTGGGGATGATGGCAGAAACAAACTGGGTCTTTGTCACAAACTCTGATTCTCTAATCGTTATAACTTTGCAACTCAATGTCGTAGACCTGACATATTTCAAACTATGGATTCAGTTAGATCAAACTATCTCAGTTTATGATATCAAAGGTTTACACCGCCAGAGTGCCAAGTCATTAGGATTAGAAAATGTTAGTCTGTGACAAAAACTCAATTCGTTTATCAACAAAATTGTCAAATATTTGCAGTCCACATTGTCAAACTCCTATTCTATAATAAAGAAATTTATCAATTCCACAAATTACCCCCTAGAAATACGATTACTCTGTTAATATAAGTATAAAGTGATAAGTAAAACATATCGTGATGTACACAATCCATTATAAAATCATGAGATAAGCTTTAACTCTTCGGTTTTCTTTCTCTATGATTTGCGGCCCGAACTATCCTTTAAAGTTTGTTTGGTTACCATTGCCATAGCTCCGCCCAGAAACAGATTGAATCCAATAGATGTAGTTCCAACCAAACTAAAATATACAAAGTACTCTGTATTCAAATACATCACAGCTGGAGTACTTATAACAAGGACGAAGTCGGAATAAGAGAGGAGAAATCTTTGCAGAATTCGCAATTCCTTTTGTTGAATCCATCACTGTTTACTAAAACTTTATTTTCTTTGAAGAAATAAAGTTTTTGCCACAAAATCAAATTTATTTTCGAGTCCTTATGCATCTTTTCATTTTGATCCTGTAGTCTTTTGATATTTCAAACTTATATTTTTTGAAATAACAGAATTGATAGTTTGAAATAGCTAAGGTCTACGACATTTGGTTTCAAAAATATGGGATTAGAAAATCAGAGTTTGTGGCAAAGACTCAATTCTTTTACAAAGGCTTGAAAAAGACAGAAGTCACCCCTACAAAGAGAGGTGCGAAGCGAAAAGCCTAATTTTAAGTTTCCCTATATTGAGGCTTAATGCTTTTTTTAAAGTTTGTGGTTGAGTGAATGTTTCTGGTTTGTTTGGTACTATGTGCTTACTGTAGCGTAAACAGAATAATTATTTAGTTACTCAATTGAGGAAACTTAGACGGAAAGAGGATTAAAATGATGAAAGCAGCTCAACCTTGCAAATCCTCAGAAATTAAAATCGTTGCATTTAGTTCAATTCGACAAATGGAAATCTTATAATTAATCTAATTCATCCTTATTATTCCTTCTGATGATAAATCTTTGCTTAATTAATATCATCTGAAAACTTAGAGCTCATTAGCAAAATAAATTCCAAATATGGCTTTTAGTTCTTACCCTACCGCGCTTATTTTTAAAACTACTGCCTTAAACGTGAAACTTGGAAGAACTAAGCTAGAGCATTTTCTGTAATCTTTTAAGAATAAGATAGGGTTGAATGNTTAAAAGTAAAAATGTCCGTTTTAAGATTCCTCCTTGAAGTATACAATAATTAGAAGAAAGATTTTCCGGATATGGGGTTACTTACATTATATATTTATTACATTCGTTTAATTAGTTTTTTTATGGTGATTTCAGAGCCAATATTTGTAAAAAATATACAGTGTTACCCACAAAGGATGAGACTTCAATGACGACCTGGAACTCATTAAATCCGACGATTTTAAGGTTGAAGTTTATCTGCTACTTTGAAATATGATAATTTTAAAATATTTAAATGATTAGGAAAAGAAATAAGTAACTGTAAAGCCACAGGGAACCATTAATGTAAGGGAAAAGGCTTATTAAATTCTGTACAATCGACGTCGTCTGAAGTATATGTTTTTAGTAATTAAGAACGTTAAATTCAACCCACTCAACTTCCCCATGGTTCATATACGAGTTCCCCAACCAAAATTTGAGGCAAATCCGTAAAGGGGTTCTAGAGTTTTGATCGGACATCTCAACTTAGATGCTAAAACCAAGCTAAGAAAATTTAAGCGATTCTCTCAAGTTCCCCAGTCAAAATTCGAGGCAAATCGGTCAATGGGTTTATGACTTATGATTGGACAAACAAACAGACAAATAGAGATTACAACTTTATTTATAACGACATATATTTATCTACCTGAGAAGGATATCTGTAGGTTCAGCCACAAACTCATTCCGCTTATCAGGGATATTTGGAACAAATCCCCATCCTAAACTAAACATTTAAATGTCGTCTTTTAAATAATTTTTTTTTTACTTTTTAAAGTTTAATGCCACTCTCCCACCCCTCCGAGTACGTTACTCTTGTGATATTTTTATTCGAAATATATTTTAAAAATTACAAAATTATTGTTATTTACTCAATCAGGTAATCTTGGTGTCCAATCCACTGCACATAAAACCGATGTGATTTCTATTCTAAATTGGGATTTAAAGGTTATTATTGGCAATCAACCTGAGATAAAAAATAATTAATATTAAACAATAGATACAATGTTCTGTTCGAGCTGTAGAAACCGAACTATGAAAACTTGTGAAAATGTTAAGTATTCAAGATTACGCTTAAAAATTCTAAGAAAGAGCAAACAAATTTTTTTTCTTTTGATCGTGGATCAAATAGAGTCTTATCTCATCCTTGTCTGTGAAATTATAATTTATGATTTAAATATCGTGGTCAGATCTGCTCTTCAAGGTCTATTAAAACCTTTTGACATATGTTCTGTTCGAGCTATAGAAACCGAACTTTGAAAACTTGTGAAAATGTTAAGTATTCAAAATTACGCTTAAAAATTCTAAGAAAGAGCAAACAAACATGATTTTTTCTTTTGATCGTGGATCAAATATAATCTTATCTCATCCTTGTCTGTGAAATTATAATTTATGATTTAAATATCGTGGTCAGATATTCACTTAAAGGTCTATTAAAACCTTTTGACATATGTTCTGTTCGAGCTATAGAAACCGAACTATGAAAACTTGTGAAAATGTTAAGTATTCAAAATTACGCTTAAAAATTCTAAGAAAGAGCAAACAAACATGATTTTTTCTTTTGATCGTGGATCAAATATAATCTTATCTCATNTAAACACACATTTTTTAAATTTGGATCATGCATAAACTTTCTCTGGGGTCACGATGAGGTCCAACAAAAAATTTGGGCACGATCGGTTCAGCCGTTTTTACGTTTATTGGATACAAACAGACAGACAGACAAGCTAAATTTATATATAGATACCGTGAATTGTCTCTTTGATTCGACCTTTAGGTTTGATAAAAGGCGGCTGACTATTGTATTCAATGTGTCGGATTAATTTCTGTATTTTTCCTTCCCCCCCGCCCAACCAGCCCCCCCCCCCCCGACACTTCTAGCGGCAGGGATGAGAAATTAAATTAAACAACGGGCTCTCCAGTCTCTGTGTCTCAATCCGGTATTTTATATTGTGTGAGCCGCAAAGAAGATACACCATTCATACCAGGAACACCTCAACTATGTCTTGAGTTTACAAGAAGTGTACTTCAGTTTTGGATTTATATAAACAAAACTCTGCCAAAGGCGCACTTTGTTTGTTTAAACTGTTTTTTTTTCTTTCTTTCTTTTTAAAATGAAATATATGAGGTTTCCTAAAGCATATTTTCCTTGGTCTGAGAGTACTTCTATAAAATTGCTGAGGGCAATACACATTGTTGAACAATAGAAATTAGGCATTAGGCCATACAGAGGCGTAGCTAAGGACTTTCTAGGNTTTGCTCGTGTACAGCTCCGTTCATGATTTTGATCAAATTGTAGGTTTTAGTTGGATTTTATTTCAATTTCCTAATCATTATGCCTAGTTCATGAATGCCTAAACAACATTATGCCTACATTTCAGAATGCCTAAATAACATTAGAGCGTATTGAATGCCTAGATAATATTGGAGCGAATTGAATGCCTAAATAACATTAGTGCGAATTGAATGCCTAAACATATTGAAGCCAGAAAAATTATACTAGAAAATCCGAATGATTTATTACATATTTTATTGTGATGAAATTTTTGCATATCATTCATATTGGTCAAATGTTTGCATATCATGGGCCAAAGTAGAAATATAATCTGCTCTTGGCATGCTGTCAAAAGCATCAACAACAAACATTTGGCTTCTTGGCTTCAGGCATAAGTATCAGATACTTTAAAGGTACACATACAGTCCAATTACCTTGCATGTACTATACTTTATCTTTCCTTCAAACAAAAAAAACATTGATTCTAAAAAATCGGCTTTATTATGCTGTTATGTTAGTAATAATTAGTCATTAGAGGACTGGTATGAGACCTGTGTACAAATATTTTCTTTATATTCTTTTAAGTGTAAATGTAAATGTAAATTGTAAATTCTCTGTGTACAGGTTACATCTCTGCGTAAAATATTTTTTTTACATAACTTATTTGTAAATGTAAATTGTCAAACTTTTCTCAAAAAAGATTCATATCAAGTCAAAAACAATCCCTAAAGTAACGGGAACAAATCTTAAGATCTAAAGCTATAAAAAGTGCCAATAATTTTGAATTGACCCAAGATCAGGGAACAAATTGCAATAAGGATACGTCAGGACTTGTTATAACTTATTCAAGAGGACATTTATTTTATGTAACATCTGTAATTATTAGATTTTGGTCTTCTTTATAATTTAATTCGAGTTTTAAAATTCCACGGGCAACGCTTGGCACTTCAGCTAGATTGTAGGCCGGGGTTTAAAGGGGGAACAATGTTGCCAAGGGTGGGGGGGAGGATATAGAGACAATAAATGCATACTTTTTGACTATATGATGAATATGTTTAAATAATCAATCATACTAGCTATGTTAGAACCATAGATTACTATCTAAATAAAACACTGGATGTCGTATTTTCAAGATTTAGGGGTTTTTCACAGAAGCCCACAGGAGTTACGCATATGCTCTCTCTCTGTCTTGTAATTCAACGCGCAATACACGTAACTCTTTTGGGCTTCTGCATCAGGGTTATTCCATTGTAAACGAAAAACCCCTAAATCTTGAAAAGATGACATCTAGTGTTATATCCATATTGTTAATTAATCTATGTTTAGAACGATCAAATATATATTGATTTTGTTTTGTTACTTGAACGTAGGATGATACCGGATTTAAACCAATTAATCTTTCGAATAGGGAATGACTTTGTCATTAAATGAACCAGACTGTGAAATTGAATCTTTAGCAACAACTCTGATTTTCTGGTTATATATCTTTGCAACCTAATGTCGTAGACCTAATTCTGTTGGACAACATATTTTAAATATCAAAAGTTTTACACCATTAATAAATTTAAGTTTTTGACAAAGACTTCATTCCTTTAATTACCTAAAATCTTATGAAATAATATAGTAAGCCAGGGAGCAATATGTTTATATTAAACAACTTCCCTCAGTTCTCGCAAATTCTAAATGTCAGAAAATTTGAAAAAAAAGATTGAGACTTTGCATAGTTTCTTGTCGTTCTGTATCTCAGGTTTGCTGATTTAGATTAATTCTATAGCGTTTCCTTGGTTTCAGAGTATTTTTCCTTCTCTCTCAATTTAACATTTTTATATCTATTTCAGACGTAACACGTGGATTATAATGATTATATAATATATTTTGTATATATGTATAGATATTTTGATAAATATGTTGATATTCAGAGCACAGCAACTTGGGGTTTCCATGGGCCGAGTTATAAAATGATCGTCTTAAAATATATATTCAAATTAGCAAGTTAATCATTTGTGCGATTTTATTCTGCAGCAAAGGATTTGAGTCTTTGCAACAAATCCCAATTTTCTAATACCTATATATCTACAACCAAATTATGTAAACTTTTGATATTTCAAACTTTGATTGATTGATATAACAGAAGTCATAGTTTGAAATATCTAAGGTTTACAACATTGGGTTGTTAAGATATAGGGATTTAAAAATCAGAGTTTGTGCAAATACTCAATTCCTTTGGTTTAATACAAATATTGAGTTTCTTGAGTATTTCCTGAATTTATTATACCCAAATCATATTAGATTATCTCCAAGCTTTAACGCCAAAATACACACATAATACTCGAAAGACCTAGTATTTTCTGCATGCAAACCTTTTTATTAGCAATATACAATTTTTTTAATGATTTGTCTTTTGAAATTTTCCTATTAGTCCCGGAAATCGCAATTTATAGCTAAAACACGATCCAATATGATGTGATGGTTTACAAAGATTCTGAAGACCATTTTAAAACTCGGCCATTTTATATTTATATAAAGACTATGATAACTGAAGGATCAGAAGTTGAAAAGGGTATAAATATATAATATATATACTCGCGCCGCTTCTAATTTTTACCAAAGACTGAATAATTACCCCTGAAAAATAAAACTAAGAAACTGATTAAAACCACAATAAAAAACAAACTTGAAAATAGGGCTAACATCTAAGCCAAGCGCTTCTATAAGAAGATTAACAAGCATAGAAATTAACATACTTTACAATATTAATATTACATGATTGAAGATATTACAGCAGGGCAGGACTGGATTCTGGATTCTAAAAACTATTTTTTAGGAATCATCATGATCAAATTCTATACTAAAATAGTTTAGTGTTACAAATGGCAGAGAAGGGCAAAAACTAAAAAATCAAGGAACTTCATNATGCAGTTTACGGCTGAAACAAGCTTTCTCCTTGATCCTCAAGTTTTCAAAAATAAAAATATAACCCTTAATTATGATTTTAGTAATCAGTAAGAAATTTTTTTTTCCATGAAATTGTTTGAGCAATTTTTGTTCTTTGGAGGGGAAGGGGGAGGGATTTCTTTGGAGGGGAGAGAGGAGGGATTTTCGACCTTGTAAAAAGATTTTAATCAACAAAGTTCTCATAAATCAGCTAAAATATTCCATCTGTTCCCTTTTCCCGCATTTACTTTACACTGTACAATTGATGGAGAGTGTACACGTTTCTCCTTTTCAGAGATTCTTCGCTGTTTAAATCTTGCCCTGGTACAAGCAAGGTGGTACAACGCAAACAACGTTTACACCAAGGTTGTATAATAAGGTTTGTTACTCTCGATGCGCTTCAATGTACAGCTGAAAGTCGTCTCCTAAGCAAAGATAGATAAAAAGCTCATATGACGTCACTGATTATAGAGGCGAAACTGTCGTCATATGAAGTTTTTAACTATCTATCTTAGAAGACGACATTTTTCGTACATTGAAGCGCACCTAGAGTAACTAACCTTATTATACAACCTTGGTTTACATACAACAAGGAATGATATGAAGACTGAAGGGGTAAATATTTTTCAAGAAGGACGGAGCCAAAAAAAATAAATCGTTGGAAATTGATGATAAGCTCAAGATTTTTAAGTCCAATGCCTTAGTCCGTAAACACAAAATTCGCAAAAGTATTATGTTTTGTATGGAAAAGATTTACCCCTGAATTAAAAAATTCAACAAAAATTATTGGAGCTTACAAGATGTGTTGATGAAATGAAATTTAAAATTGATTATATTTTAAGGAAGTACATGTTTTTGATTTGATGTAATGTGAAGTAAATAGCTTTGCTGTAGATATAAAAAATGCAAGAATTATTAGCAAACAGCAACGATTGTTACATAAATACTTTAGGTTTAGAGAACATGGGTTTAATGTATTTTGATTGAGTGTAGAATCATTCGAAGTTTTGTTGTTCAAGTCTGAACCCCTCTGGAGGACCTGAAGGAGTTGACAAGGTCGCTCCCTAGGGAGGTGAAGATACACAAGGCCAGCATACCCAACCCTGCTGATCCTCCAGCTAAACCTATCTTCATCCAGACCCCAGAGAGGAGGTGACCAAACAGCTTCTGCAGGAACACGTTGGAGGCCAGGAACACGGTGATGGTTACGGATGTGAAGAGGAAGCAGTTTGCCCACGCAGGTTGGGGGGAGCTGGACATAAACTGCGGATCGTTCAAGCAGACAAGCAGACAGATAGCAAAGAAAGGTAGCAAGCATCCGTTAAAGACCTGGGCCACGAGAATCACGTGAGTACGCGGAGCTAAAATAAGATAATTTAGAAAAACTGTTAAGGAAATGTGTTTTTACCGACTACGGACAACTTCAAAATAAATTCTGACATTAGTACAAAGAATATTTTTGGTATCTAAATCGGGGTTGGATACAGGGGTGGAATTGGGGGAAGTTAAGCAAATTGTGCGAAAATTCTTCGAAAAATCCTGTATCCGCCGCTCCTGATCTAAATATATTTTGATGTGATTTTCTATCGGTGATATGGTATTTATTAATATGTTTTTAAATGTATAATGTTAAAAGAATAAAAACTAGAAGGAAAAGTTAGATTATAGATTAATAATTACGAATTAGTTGTATTTTTAGAAACAGGGAAAACTGAAAAGAAATAAGTCCATTTCACTCTTAAACACATGATCAGAAGATTTAAGTTTGTGGCAAAAACTCAATTCCTTGCATATATCTTGTCAATTTAATTCTTTAAGCTTTTCTTAATTTCCGATCAGTAAATAAGATGAATTGAATTTATTATTCATAGTTTGAAAGGTATGCGATACCATGTTGCAAAGATATAAGATTAAAGTTTAAGGCGATTGATCAAATTCTTTATGCAGCTCCATATTTCATTAATTGAAGAGCTTTTTTAGATTATAGTTATATAACTTAGTAGGGAATAAGGAAAGACGTTAGATTGACGCGTGTAAATCTAGTTTCGACATGATAGGGTTGAGCTAAGAAAGCTAGTTACAACTAGTTTCAAGCTCGCTTCCTTTACAGGTCTAGTTTTCTACCTTCAACTCAAACTGTTCACAAGCTTTCATCATTTAGGTATCTATTTTCGTATCTGTACTTTCACATAGAACTCATACTTAGCTAAGAATGAAGTTTACTCACCATCAAGACTGATGACCAATGTCGCTACAACAACCATTACTGAGATGATTCCCCAGTAGACAAACCTAGGCAGCTCTTTAGCTTTCCGTCCCTCCTCAACCATCTCAAGGTTCTTATCTTCTCCAGGTTCTCCAGTCAGAGGTTGCTTGGTCTCATCATCCTTCATCTTAGCTTCAGTTCCGTCTCCAAGCTGATCCACAGTTATATTCTTCTCATTGATCAGTCCAATCTGTACAGCATGGTCAGAGATACAGGTTTCATCTCGTTCACCCTCGCTCTCACTAAACACACTCTCAACAGTGAGTCCAGCTCCAAGAGGAACCGCCAGCATGGAGCTTATCGCAGCTGCAATAAACCCGATTGAGAACACGAACACACCGATCTCGCCGATGAAGTTCTTGATGAAGTTAGCCAGGGTAAGGATGCAGAACGCTTCTCCGTGATTGGCGTTATAGGTTCCAGCTCCAACAATGAGAATAAGAACGGAAACCTCTAGAGCGGAGATGGTGGAGAAAGCTATTCCTCTCTGGGAGGATTCAAGCTTCTTTCCCTTAGCCATGGTTCCCCCCAGGAATAGGTTGAATCCAATGGAAGTAGTTCCGACCAAGCTAAAAAAAATTCAAAGTTATTCAAAAAATAAAATTCCTTCTCCCCTTCCCTCCCTTCTATTCCCCCTATAGACCGAAAAAGTATTAAGTATCTATATCTATGTTATTGTTTAGTCTGAATGATTCCCCCTCAGACAAGAATTATTTTCTAATTGACAAAACTTCCCAACTTTTCTCGTTGAAAACACATTGAAAGGAAAGCTCCCAATTTAAAGTTTAAGGAGATGAACTCTAAAAGTTAAGACCCCTATTTTTCTGTTTTTTTCTCTCGACGGAAGTCAACAGCACATAAAATCCGAGAATATAAAGTTTGAAAAGCATACAGATTATATAAATAAACAGCTGGACATTAGATACATTGCATCTGGACGGCATAAATAAAAATAAAAATAATTTCGTTACATTATAACCTATGTTTAAGAAAAAGTTACTAGTATAGCCCAGCTTTTAGAAATAAAAGAGATAAAAAATAATTTACTTTTTTACTTTTAACTCTAGAAACTAAAAAAATAAGCGGGGGCGTGGGTATCAACTCACAGATTCCTCTTATTATCCTGACTATAAAAATACTCCATATCTGTATCCACAAACAAAGAGTTCTCTGAAGAAAAGAAAGTAAGAAAGTCAGAGGAACCATGAACCTCGGAGTTAATTATGGCTCGGGTTTAATAATCCTTCAAGGAGACAAAAATGTTATCGAGCACACGCTGTCTGGAGGAGAGCAAGAGAAATCTTTGTAGAAATATCTATTGAGTAAATATTTTTTAGAATCATTCTAAAATATAGATTTGTAGAGAGGTAGAGGCACCTGGGGGAAGGATTTAGAAGTAGACCACAAATTAAAAAACAATATAAAAACCACACAAGAATGGCGAGTTCAAGATTTAAAAAGAATTTAAAATTTTTTAAATCATAAATATTTGTATTGCGTTCTTATTCTTCAAAATAGCTTTTTTAAAAAATATTTTCCAGTCCCGAAAATGATTAGATATCACAATACTTGAGTCATGAAACTAACTTATTTATAATATTAGGCTTAATATACATTCCAGACTATATATAGCTAATATATCAATACCATCGCATGCATATTTTATACATATTCAAATCAAAACTAAGCAATTTAGATAGATGTACAATTGCTCTCCAACTCGCCTCAAATTTACTAATACCTAATGGTCTAAACCTTTGTTAGGCTAATATTTTAAACTACAATAGGTCGACAACATCAGGTTAAAAAGATAAAGGGATTAGTAGTTGTGGCGAGTGTAATGTTCATTTATAAGTTAGTTAAATAAGTGAAAAAAAACCGCATAAAAATAATTTTCTTGTAATTTATAACTTAGAAGAACTTTATGTCAACCTCTTAGAGAATTTTAGGCGTTCCAAAGACATAATCTTATCGCTTGTGAATTCTCTTATGTGTCGGATGAATTATTCCAAGTGTGTAAAGATAGACACAAGTAAACAAAGATGGATTCTACCTTAGTATCATATCCGCAGGTTCTGCTGAAGTCTCAGATTTCTTCTCCGGCATATTCGGGATCAGTCCTCGTCCTAGCCTATATATATTTCTAACTAAAAATCAATTATCTTTAATTGAAGGTTTTCTTAAAAAGTGATTTTTGATGCAGAGACTATAAAGTAAATTGTGATAATTCAACACAAGACCTTCCTGATTTTTACTCAGATAGAGGTTTAAAGGGTACCGTTGTGAATCTTACATGCCAGTAATTGTAATGGAGGGTCATGAATCTACAATCCTTTAATAAGAACTGTACTGCAGTTATTTATCTAAAATATTTGGGTTTCTTTCCAACAAGAGGGTCCCTCAAACTGCAGTACATAATATGACGCATTACCGTCAGATTTTTCTAATCACAACAATTGTGTTCCAAAATGGACGATTCTTTTGTGCTAACAGAGATGTCAAATATTGTCTGATGTCAAACAAATGATGTAGAAACCTGAAGCAAAATCAATAAAAAATAGCTCATCAATCTCAAGATTCATCTAGGAAAGTTTATTTTTTACAAAAAAGGTTTAAAAATAATTTATTTATCGAAGTTATCGCAGTCTGCCTATTTTTGTTTTACTCAAGATTGAACAAAAGATAGTGTCTTATCATAAAACTTTTAGCATATTGGTATACCCTATAAACCATAGTGAATACTTGTTTTTCGCGGGCTGATCTTGCATTCTATTTTTGCTTAATCTCAACTATTGAGATTGGGTGGATAATTAAATTTTTTTTCAAAGATATTTGCATTGCTTTGCTTATGACTTAAAGAAAAGTGGAACTCAGACACAGTTAAGTAGTGTCCTTCTGTCCTTTTCCCGTCAGACAGTTTTATTTATAAAAATAAAGATAATTTGAAAAAGAAATTCTCTATTTTTCTCTTACGTCGTTTATTTCCTTTCATGATTTACAAACTCTGAGTTCTCTGGCTCCGTAAAAAAGTCTGTCTCATAAAAAGGTTTAACAAAATTTTGGTTTGGTTGTTAAAAAAATCTTAAGGATTGGCAGAAACGAGCCACACTTGGGGAAAATGTGAAAATCTAAAAATATAAATTACAAATTTAAGAAACCTCGTGATAAACTTTATTTAGACAGCATGACAGAGGGAGCGGGGAATATATGTATTTATAATATTTCCGGTCTCAGCAATTTCAAAATCCACCTCAAGGACAAAATTGTCAAGAGAACCTTATTTTTCGAACTTGAATTTTTTATGTTAATGCACAACATGGACACGAGAATGTTAATTTAAAAAGTTATTTGTTTTTTGTATTTTGCTGATTTTGATATTTTATCCTTGACCTTAGGACTAGAATTCTAGTCCCTTATTTATGCTAACTTGTGCATTGAATGATGAATATACTCTTTCTTACTCTTTCTTTTTAAACTGGAACATTTCTGTTCCATCTTTCCACACTTAATTTTACTTTTACAATTCACATTTAATCTTCTACCTAAGTCTTTAACTTCAATAAAAATTTCACTTTTGTAAATCTAATCTCAATGGTCAATTTGAATTTTAATATTAATACTTTTGTTTTAAAAAGTGAAACCAGTTTTTCTTAACCTAAACCCATGAATCCATTTTTATATCCTGAATCCATGAATCCAGTTTTATGTTCTGAACCCATGAATCCCGTTTTTTATTCGGATCCCATGAATCCAGTTTTATATCCTGAACCCATGAATCCAATTTTATATCCTGAACCCATGAATCCAATTTTATATCCTGAACTTATGAATCCAATTTTCTATTATGAACCCATTAATCCAGTTTTATATCCTAAACCCATGAATCCAGTTTTATATTCTGAACCCATGAATCCACTTTCATATCCTGAACCCATGAATCCAATTTTCTATTCTGAACCCATGAATCCAGTTTTATATCCTGAATCCATGAATCCAGTTTTATATTCTGAACCCATGAATCCAGTTTTATATCCTAAACCCATGAATCCAGTTTTATATCCAAAACCCATGAATCCAGTTTTATATCCTAAACCCATGAATCCAGTTTTATATCCTGAACCCATGAATCCAGTTTCATATCCTGAACCCATGAATCCAGTTTTATATTCTGAACCCATGAATCCAGTTATATACAACGAACCCTTTGAAGCTTTTCATCCTTTTTATTCTAAACTTTTTTATTTTCCAAAAATTAATATTTTCTTTAATATTTAATATTTTTATCCCATTACACTGCCTTGGATGTTATAGATATTCTTTTAATTAAATAATTGGTTCTTCTATATTCTCAACTCACTATTCTGCCTTTCAACCTGAATTTCCTGTACAATCTTTTAACCCTGAATTTACGATTCTTTCTAGAGATTTTTTTTGGAATTTAAAACTCTTTCTTTATTTCTTAGATTCCTATTCAACTCTATAAAGGAGTTGAGTTTTTGCAACAAACTCTGATTTTTTAATCATCTTTGTAATCCAATGTCGTAGACCTTAGATATTTCAAACTATTGTTACTTATAGATAAAATAATCTAAGTTTGAAATATCGAAGGTTTGCACCATCAGGTTGCAAAGATATTGGGATCAGAAGATTTAAGTTTGTGGCAAAAACTCAATTCCTTGCATATATCTTGTCAATTTAATTCTTTAAGCTTTTCTTAATTTCCGATCAGTAAAATAAGATGAATTGAATTTATGAGAGTTAGTCAACTCTTCGCAAACAAATTTGAGACGCACCAACAAAGAAGAAGGTTGGGCTCACCTTGAATAAAACAAAACTTTGCTGACTTTAGGTTTGAAACTTTCCATTTACAATCCAATAAAAGTTTAATGAGTCAGTATGACGGAATGGATTTTATTGAGTTAATATACCATAATTGAGCCTTCAGAAGAGCACGGTTCTTGATTTAGACTATGTTGTCATTTTTGATTATTGACTTTAAATAATCTAAAGATTCTAGAATGTCGATAATTGGTCGAATTTTAAGGTAAAGAAGATACGACACAGTTAATTTGACAGACTTGTTTAACCAACGCGTTGTAAATAAATAATGGAACTTGGTTACTTACGTTGGGACTTAATATGAAACAATAATAGTTTAAAAAGTAGATTTTTACTTACTCTGCGAAGTCCAGTCCCATGATAATAACAACCACGAGAAAGAGACAGACCATGCCCATCATCATCATTCCGAGCACAACACCCAGGCTGTCAACCTTGTCCCAGTAGAGCAGGGCCAGCACCAGCACTGCATATGCTACGCAGCAGCCAACACGAAGAGGAGTTGTATCCGTAGCTCCAGGTATGGCAAGAATAGCGTCGATTCCTCCGGCCCAGTTGTTGCACTCGTAGAGCGTGTTCCCGAAGAACACACAGATGCCAACCATCCAGCAGATAACGGCGGTATCGTAGATCTTAGCTCCATTCCTGTACTTCATCCTTAGACATTGCCCAAGGGACTTCCCGGATACGATGGTCAACCTTGCTGTTCCTTCCTGGAGAGTGTAAGCCAGGATAGAAGCGAATACGAGAGCCCAGATCATACTCATACCGTACTCTGCTCCTGCTCTTGCACAGGTTACAACTGTACCCGGACCTACTGTACAGGCAGCCAGCATAGTCCAGTACAGCATGGAGGAGATCTCCGACCAGATGTTGGTCAGTTTCATCCTGATTACTTGAATTCTAAAAAATACTTTATTTAAAGTGGAGAGTCAATCATTGTTGACCGTGTATGAAAACTCCGAGCTAAACTAATAGTTTAGGTATATCTTGATGCTGCAGCTCGGCCTCGTCCCGGCCCGGCAAACCCGGCACAGCTCTCCCAACCTCGATAGCGGCCTCCTTGACACGTCATAATTGTTTTAAAGAGGTTTTTATTTATTGGTTTTATCAAGACACTCGCAAATTTGTTAAACAAATCTTTCCTTACTTTATAACTGCTGAATAACAACTAATTTGCACTTTAGGTTGTTCACCCTAACTCAATTCTCAATTTGTAATTAGAATTCTGGGAACTTTGCTTGATGTGTTTATCTTGAAACGATTGGAAGAATAAAACATGTTAGATGAAACCCAACTTAACTCACAGTGCACACAATTCATATAAAAAGTCTACGTAGCAATTTGCTCTATTTATTTATAGTATTTGTTTACTCCATAAATATGTTAAACCTCGAATACAGCTCTTTAGCTTTCTCTCTTTATCCCACAACCCTCGAATACAGCTCTTTAGCTTTCTCTCTTTATCCCACAACCCTCAAATACAGTTCTTTAGCTTTCTCTCTTTATCCCACAACCCTCGAATACAGCTCTTTAGCTTTCTCTCTTTATCCCACACCCCTCGAATACAGTTCTTTAGCTTTCTCTCTTTATCCAACAACCCTCGAATACAGTTCTTTAGCTTTCTCTCTTTATCCCACAACCCTCGAATACAGTTCTTTAGCTTTCTCTCTTTATCCAACAACCCTCGAATAAATTTATCAATACCGAATCTTACAGAGGAAAAGAACAGTTTAATAAGAAGATCACATGTTTGTTTATACATTATTTTTTAACATATCCAGAATTTTAAGTTACACTTTTTTCACACATAATTCACAATAGAAAATTTCAGTTGACAATGTTCACAAGACATTTATAACATATTTATGCGCTCGTGATAAGTAGATTCCAATTCCTCTATTGAAGTACTAGAATTCTCTCAGACTGATGCGATGATCACGATCACCCTGAAGATGAACTCTAAGCTGAACATCGCGAAAATTTAAAATCCGGTTATGGTGATGGGCCAAACCTCTGTAGAGTAAAAGTAGATGTTAGTTCCACATTTATTGAAAATATATATCGGTCTGGGTTGACCCTCGTCAGTTCTAACGATATAATAACCATCAAAATCGATAAAAAAATATAAAAAAAAATTGTTAAAAACCACAAGAAAATAAAAAAAGATCATTCAAACTAAAAATTTGGACTGTTAAATGGAAAACGAACTCAGATTATGAAATGGAAAAAGATAATTTGAAAATATTCACTTTAAAAAAAATGTTTGAAGACAATTATTATTCCTTGAGATTGTTTCTGTCACAAAGATTAAAAACAAACTGTTTATATGTATGTGTATAAAGTGGTGGTGGGGGTCGATCGAATTAGCGAACTTTTACAGTAAATCGGGGGGAGGGGGAGGGGACGGCTTGTTTAAGGAGGGGTATTTAAACCTTTTAAAGAATTGGACATAAACAACAGTGACTGCCTTTCTAGGCATACCCGTCCATTTCAAAGGCGTAAAAGGAAATTGGAAATGTACCGTAGTATTTTTAATCATTTAATCATTTTATCATTTAATCGTTTAATAATTTTAATCATTATTTAATAAATCTCCTGCAAAAAGGGCCAAGTAAACTAAAATCGAAGTATAAGCGGGAGTAAACCTTACATCCGGTTTATATTCTGGTCGGTTCATCCTCCACATTACAAACCAGGCACCCAGCAACAAGACTCCGTACAAAACCTAAACATGGGAAATTTCCATCCGACTAACCAGGAAAAATTCCATTAAAACCCAAACATGAAATTTCCAATCACAAACTAACCAGGAAAAATCCCATAGAAAACCTGAACATGGGAAATTCCTAAATACGAAAAATTCGTGCAGAAAAAAGGTTTATTCCGTACAAAGTGAAAATGGAAAATTGATGAAACTCAGAATTGTAACATTCACAAAAAAAACCCTTAAATAACAAAAATAAAAAAGTTTGAAACTGGAAAATGTAAACAAAAATAAGAAAATTCCGTCTATTATCTAAAAAATGTAAAATTCGTAAAAAGAACTTATAAATGAAAAATTTTTGGAAAAGACCCAAAAAATGAAAAGTTGGAAGTAGAAAAATATCTTCTCTTTGTACCTTTGTATAAAACAACTAGCTGAAGGGCCCGGCGTTGCCCGAAAAAATCTTTTGAAGATAGATTCAGGGTGGCACAAACTTTTTTGAAAGAATCCGTACAAAAATCCGTACATTTTCAGAAAAAAATCCGTACAATCCGTACAATTTTCGAAAAAAAATCCATACAATCCGTACAATTTTCGAAAAAAAATCCGTACAATCCGTACATTTTTTTTGAAAAAATCCGTACATTTTTTTTAAAAATCCGTACATTATTTAAAAAATCAGTACAATCAGTACTATTTTCGAAAAAAATCCCTGCAATCCGTACATTTAAGAAAAATAAAACCATTTTTGAAAATATTATTCAACACTGTCTCACCCCC